ACCGGAAGTCATTATCTTCGGAGTTACAGCGATTCGAATTTTTTCTAATTTAATTGGGTTTAATAGGGTTCAAGGTAAATGATCAAAAATTATATTATTTCTTTATTCGTAGATATCTTTGGAACCGGAAATCGTATCGAGATAAGTAAAAGAGCGTTTTAAAGAGGAAAGTTCCGCGCTTCTAATGATCTTTCATCCATTAATTGAAGATCATTATCTTCGGAGTTATAGCGGTTTAAAGTTTTCGTTATTTTATTAACGAAGCTTTAAAATATTGTAATTGTCTTTCTAATAACACATGATATATTAAAATATTCTAAATTTATTTACGTGATTCTAATTCGATAACAAAAAGATTAATTTTCAAAATTTAATCAAGGATTTTGCAAATGCTCTGTATATATTTATTATATTATATTTATATTACATAAATATAAATTTTGTCCAAACTCTGGCTTCGAAAATTCGAATCTTTCAGACAGAGTTCCATGTTTTCCAGAGAATCCATCGAGTACATACACTTGCTCGTTTAACTTCTTCGTGGATTAGAGAAGTCTCGATATTTGATTTCCACGTTGAACTGTCGAAGATTTTCGGAGATTTTGAACTTTACGGAATCTTGATATTCTTGAAATTTGCCCAAGAATCTCACCAAGAAGTAATCTCGTAGTAGAATAAACTCGAAACTTCCTTCGGCAAAAGGAGTGGCGATCTCCAACCGCGTTTAACTCGCAATTACGCTTAATTACAGATCGATAAGGATCAACGTGTGCACAAATCGCGATTCTGCAATTTTATCTCGTCTTAAATTCATGAGCGCGTTACAGAAACCCAGATGACCCAATTATATTGGCGAACAGTTTGCTCGAGAGGAGTTCTAACGAAATTACACTGGTTCTATTACGACGATGGTTGAGCCCAACTGCGAATAAATAGGTGTATCGCAAGCCTGATGGATTTCCAAAGATCTCTCTTATCGAATTCAACAAGCGAGGATTCCCCAAATCGATTCGTCGGAAACTCTGATTTCTCCAGAGACTCTGGCAGAAGGGAGAGGGAATCAGATTGTCCGAGAAACGTTCGAGAATTGAAACATCTCGATCTTTTCTTTGCCTTTTGAGTATTCATTTCTGCATGTTTATTGTCCACCGGTGTATCATATCTTGTCGCGATAAAATAATTTTGTATCTGTTGGAATATTCGAAAATCAAAGTTGTAAATAAATTTCTTTTCGATGAAAATCTAATTAACGTAGGCAAAAGAAAAAACAGAGATGTTTGAAAGTATATTGAATCTTTTCAAAATTATTTGCACGATATATAAATGGCGAAAGGTAAAGACTGTATCGTTCGATAGATAAAAAGAATAGCGCGTTATTATAAATGTTTATGAATTAATGAGAAATTTAAAACTAAAATTAATGAGAAAGTTAAAAAATTTACATATGATATATAAAATATTCATATTGAATCTTTATTTCCACTTCTTCGACGATGAAAATTTTAATTTGCTTAAACGTTTAATAGTTACGAAATATACAAGTTATTTTAACATTACTGCATAATATGCAATAAATATATGCAATAATATATGCAAAGGAAGTTTTTCTTTTTTAAAAATATCGATTTATGAATATAAATTACTATTAACGCGTTCCATACGTGATTTATAATCGGAGAAGAATTTTATTTTCATCGTTTCGTATTCTCGAGACGTTTAAAATAACGTGAAAAGCTCGAACGACTCTCTTTTCAAAAGTTGTAGTTGGACGGATGCTCGGGATGATTGAGTTCCAGACACGCGCTTGGAACTCGAAACATGTTTCTATTACATTGTACCGTCGTGGACAAAATTAAGTGGACGCTACGTTCACGTTAGGAAATTCATCGTTCAGATACAATGGTGGAAATGAATTTGAATTTTTACATAATTTGAACATAAAACGGGACATGGAACGTATGTACAAATAAAATCATAAAATCAGTTCCTATAACTATTTATAACACGTATTTGTTTGTATATTGGTGAACTTTAGACCCGTGGACACGTAGAGAGTTTCGCGTTAACGGAAAAACAATGTAAACAAACATTGAGATTCGAAATATATTGGATATATTTGTCAGTATTCGTAAAGCCTTCCTATTGGAAACTTTAAATTATTATCAAATAAACATGTATAATAAAAAACAAGAAATTTGTGCTCGGTTGCGAAATATAATTGTATCTGATTGCAAGAATAATCAAAGTTATCGTAACATTGCCCAAAAATATAATGTTTCCAAGAGTAGCGTTCATAAAATTTATAAAAAATATTTGGAACATGGCCGTGTTGATAATTTACGCGGTCGAGGACGGAAACGTAACACAAGTGCTTACGAAGATGGAAGAATTGTAAGAGTATCTCGACGTAATCCAACGATAACATCGAGAAATATCGTTGAGCAGCTACGATTAAATGTATCTTCAAGAACTGTAAGACGAAGATTAAAAGAGGTAGGTTTAAAGAATTGTGTGGCTAAACCATCATCAAAGTACAAAAGAAGAAACGTTTGAATTTCGTCAAAGAGTATATAAATAAACCACTATCGGTTCTGGAAACGAGTAATTTGGAGCGACGAGAATAAATTTATCCTTAATATAAATGAATCTATAAAAAAAAATAGTAAAGAATAGTGTTTTGACCAACTGTCAAGTATATATTTTTCATTATAGTTGAATTTCAATGTTTCGAGTTTCATATTATACTTTTGTTAACTTGTTCAATAAAATTTAGATCAGAGTTCAATTGAATTAGCTTTTCATTGCTCACTAAAAATGTGTCCACTTAATTTTGTCCACTGTACCGTAAGTGGACTCTTCTGTGGACGTAGTTGAAAACGTTTAAAACTCTTATATCTCGAGCAGTAAGATTCCTTCCCGATTGTGAAACTTTTGGAAGAAGTTTGAGAAAATAAATCAAACGAAGTATATACTTGCCAAACAGTATATACTTTGTCCATTCCATTGAATTTACCACTTTCCATCCCAATGTACGAAATAAATCTTCCTTGATCTCATTCCCTTCATATTTTTTTTTTTAGAGAGATCTTAAGATCTTGCAGAATTCCAATTTACAATTAATTATTACAAATACCTCTCCAATTTTTATCTTCTAATTTTAATTTTTAACGCGTTAAATGTTGAACAAACAAGGATAATATTAATTTAAAACCCCAATTATCTCGATCGCTCCGCCGTGCATGAAAACGCAGAGCTGAACTGAAGAGTGGCCTGGAATAAAAACGAAAGGAAATCGCGGAGGAGGAGGCAGAGTGGAGAGGAGGATGGTTCGAGGAGGGCCTTTGAAGGGGGACCCAAACTAACCAACCCTTCAACTTGCTCAGGTCTGCAAGGGTGCGCGATATTGATTCTCGCCCACCACTTCCACCAACTAGTTGTGCTACCTGTAAGCGCGAGTACAACATGGGCGAATCATGGCGGTTCTCCTTCTCTCGTATGCCCGTGTACACGGACCAAGCGTTCGCCTCGCACGTCTCAATGAGCGTCACACGGAACGATCGAGCGCTTCGGTCGTCAATCGTACCTCGCAAGCGTCTCCCGCCCTGGTAATAATCGATGACGATCGATTCCGTTCGAGCGGAATGTTTCGAGGGAGGGGGGAGGGGGGATAAAGGGTTCTATCTTCAATCACTCCCCCTCGATCGACGGATTCGCCGTGAAACCTGTTCGATGGGATTCGGAGACCGTTGATGCCTCGTTACACAGAGAGAGTTTTGCTGGAAATGTGAATCGTGATATGGACGTTGATAAATGGGGGACCGGGGCTTCCTTGTATTCCGTTGCAACTCGTTGTTGTTCGAGTTGAACATAGTTTTGGGGATGACGTGGATCAATAATGACGATGTTGAATTAGCCGTTGACGAAGATGTAGCTTATTTGATAGGCCGCGATAATTGAATACACTTGGATGAAAATGAAAATTCGTCTTTGATGTTTAGAAATGTAAAATGGAATAATTCTTAATCGAACAATTTTGTTTTCCATTTATTTATCGTTATAAAAATAAATCTCCTAATTTTATAAATATATATATATATACACACACACACACACACACAGAGTTTGTGTAGCTCTAATGCAAGAGTAAATTGTCTAATTCGAATTCTCTTTGAATGCTCTTCCTCCTCTCATCTCCTCGCCGCCGTTTATCAGGTGTATCAACCTAGCCGCGTTTAATCGAGACGAGTCGCGAGGTTTCTCTATCAATCCCGACCGTTTAGGATCGTAACTCGTCATCGGTCTCTCTGAAGAATCTCCCCTTTGCAGTTCAGCGCGATGATCTTATCTTTCATGGGCCAACGAGATTAATAACGCGAGATCACGCTTCGAGTCGGTCGTTGGAGAAAATAGGATGGAAAGGCAGGCAGAGAGAGAGAGAGAGAGAGAGGGAGAAGGGAAGCGTTCGTTCGCAACGGACAAATACAAGACAATGAAGATTAATGTTTCGACCTGGTTCCCTAGCCTGGTAGTCGACAGCACCGTGCGAACTTAGTTTTCGTTAATCTTCGGGGTCGCCCGTTGCGGTTTATGAGACGTGCCTTATTTTCGAATGTCTCATCTGCGTGAGAAACCCGAGGGGAATGTACCTCTCTTCTCGTAAGATCGATGAGCAGCGTTCGAAACACTGTAGAAATTAAACGCTTTCGAAGCTTCGAATTTAATTAATATTTCGCGTAATTTCTAAAGAACCCATTCTATTAAATGTTCGTTTTATTTTATTATCGTATTTTTTTACCGATGTATCTTTTCCAAAATGACTTTGACTTATTTAAAGAAATACTCGAAGCTTACCTTTTTGCGAAGAATTAGTCAAACGATCAAAATAATCGAAATAACATTTGGAACAATTTAAATCTATTCTCGCACACAAAAAAAAAAAAAAAAAAAAGAAAAAGAAAATGTTAAACCGGATTCGTTCTAATAATTCGTTGTAATTGCAGATCAGCAGTCGGCGTGACATGGATGTGAGCTTCACGAACGTATTAGAGGGGGCTCGCCAGTACTTCCAGGGACTGCCGGTACCGAGTACAGGTAGTGCGACCGCGTCAGCGGATCACGGTCTCGCGACATCAACGAGTTCCGCCTCGTCCGTATCGTCGTCGCACGACCATGGCACCTCCTCGTCCGTGGCTCCTCCGTCACCGGCACCACCCGCACCGCCACCACCACCACCACCGCCACTATCGTTACCGTCGCAATCGGCTTCGAGCGGCAACACCAACGATCAAGAAACGAACCGATATCTCAGCGATGTCAGGCCGTCGTCCGTGGACAACGCGGCGACGAGCAGCACCTTCTGGAGCCCATCCGTCGAACCTTATCCACCCCAGCCGACCAGGGTCGAAGTTCCGGACACGAGGCCAGGCGACGAGGGATCCCCCATGGAGGCGAGCTCGTCGTCCTCGAGCATCATCACCCTGACGGAGATGCAACCGGTGTCGGCCTCCAGCCGTTCCTCCTCCGCGTCAAACTTCTCTCAGAAACAGCCAACAACCTCCTCGTCGTCCAACAACGATCCTCTTCAACAACATCATCATCATCATCAGCATCATCATCATCATCATCATCAGCAACAACCAACGACCGCGACCGCGCCGACGTCGCCCCATCTGCATCAAATGCAACCACCGCAACAGCCCAGTTCTCCGGGCCCCGTTTACCAACAATTGAACCCCGTCTCCAGAACCTCGTACTCGACCGCGGAGATATTCGCCTCGACGCACCAACCGACTTATCAAACTGCCAACGATCGACAATCGCAGCCGAGCGCGCCGGTCGTAGCACAGAGAACCCAATATTACCCCCGCTACCATCATCCGGACATAACGAAGAGCGCCCCGGTTCCGTTCACCCAGAACTCCATCTATCAATCGTCCACGGTCGCAGCGGCGTCCACGTCGACGGGGAACGTGCAACCGGCCACGAGGCCGACGCCTGTCGAGCAGAGCAACGCGAGCAACCTCGCTCCCACGCAAGGCCAAGGGCAGGAGCAAAGGGTGCCGCCTAGTTCGTACGCCGCCAACAACAACGGTGTCCCGGCATCGAGTAGCTCGATTTACGGCTCGTCCTCGGGGACGCACAACTATCGCGCGACGCAGCATCAGCAGAATCGATTGAATCCATCGTCGTCATCGTCTTCTACGTCGTCGTCGTCGTCGAGCAACCAAGCGATGGACAACAACAGGCCCTCGCATCAGGAAAGATCGCATAACTCGCGCGTCTCCTCGTCTCCGTCCTGCTCGTCGGTGAACCCGTGCAGTCCCCGCCACACGGCCAATCCTTCGAGTCACATTCCTTCGTCTTCGTCGTCGTCGTCGTCCACGCCGTCGCTCTCTTCGTCCACGTCGTCGTCGTCGCCCTACCAGAACCTTCCGGCGCACATTCCTTCGTCTCACTTGCCATCCGCCGGGAGCATGATACCTCCTCCTCACCATCAACACGCTCAACAGCAACAACAGTCGCAGCAACAAATGCAACAGCACCAGCAACAGCTTTCTAGTCGAATAAACGCGTCTCCCCATTCGATGGCGTCCAACTCGTACGCGGGCCGAATGATCGTACACGGGACGTCCGCCCCCTCCTCCTCCTCCTCGTCCTCCTCCTCCTCCTCCTCCTCCACGAGTTCGAATCAAATGCCACCACCGGCGGCACTAGGCGGCTATCACCCTGTCGCCTCGCCCCACGACGTTCCGCATCACGCCACCCCCTCGCCCCACAGACAATCGCCCCACGTGTCCACCCTGCACAATCCTCACGCCTCTCCTCATCACACGCCATCCCCGCACAGCGGCTTCCAGCCGCACTCGCCGACTTATCCCCCCCCTCCGCCCCCGGCCACCTCTCACTCCACCCCTCACTCCTACCCCACCCTACCCCCCATCACCTCGCAGCACTATCAGCAGCCGAACGCGGCCGGCTACGCCGCGAATCCGTACGGATTGCCGCCACAATCTTCGTATCATTCCTACCAAAAGAGCCCTCAACCGGCGCAACACACGCAGCCCAACTATTACTCGCAATCGAGCCGATCCCAACAGAGCCAGCCGTACGTCCAGCAGATGTCGATACAGCCCCCCCAGTCGATCTGCTCTGGAAACGGAAACGCGAACGGCGCCGCCTCTTATCAGCCGAGCAAACCGGTCACGTACAACGGGGCCGACGGGGCGAAGAGGAACTCGATGGAGGTGCCCTACGCCTCGCCCTACCGCGGCCCCCAGACGTCGATCGCCGCGCAGAGGAGCGGCAACACGCACAATCTTCCACCCATCGCCGCTCTGTCGTCCTATCATTCCAACAGGCGGGAATCCGCGAGCAAAGGGCAGTCGGTGGTGCAAAGGCAACGCGGCTACGGAACGGGCGCGGCAACGAACAAAGTCTCGGTCGTGACGCCGCCCGCGTCCTCGATGGCAGCGCCTCAAAGGTTGGCCGAATATCCGGCCACTCTGTCGGCCATGAATCACGCGATGCCCGTGAACGGAAGGACGAACACGGTCACCAATTCCTCGTACAGCAGATACACCGCCCAACACGGTTACCCGAGTTACGCCACGACGATGGCGCCCAGCCACCAAGGCAGCAACTCCTCCAGCACCACCGTCACTTCCATAGGCCACTCGGCATCGAGATCTTCCGTTCCATCGGCCGCAACGATACACGGTTACCAGACGACGGATCGCGGGGGGTCGGGTTATCACCATCAACCTGTAAGAGGCAGCGAGGATTACGGGTACAAAGAGTACTCCTCGTATCAGAATTCAACCGCGCCCACGATCCAATCCACGGTCGCCCCTTCCATGGCAACCTCGTCGCCCCAGACGAACGGGGTTAGGAAAAGGGAATCCCCTTTGGACCTGTCCGTGAAAACGGTGAAAACGTCCGCTGACTCGACCGCCCAGGACGACATCGAGACGATACCGACGATGGAGAAGCACGTGAGCAGCACAGGCACGGTGATCTCGAGAAGCAACAGCTCCAGAACCATGCTTCCGCCTCCCCCTCAACCTCCCCCGCAACCGGCCTCCTACCCTGCCTACGACAACAGATTGCCGGCCGGTAACGCGAGAAATTTGCCGCCGACGAGCAGTATACGAACGTCCACGCCCGTTTGCGCGCCTAAGGTCGATTTCTTGCCGGACTTCAACTCCGCGCCGCTGCGCCACCACCACGGCCAACAACCGCACGAGAATACTCTTCAGCGGAGGAGCTCGACGCAGCAGCTCTACGCTCCGCCCCCGCAGCCTCTTCCCTCGCAGCATCCTAATAATACCGCTCCACTGCCCCACATGTCCACGTTCAAGAAGACTTCACTGCCCACCACGCAGGTTTACGAGCCGGCGCCGCCTCCGCCGCCGCCGTCGTCCTCCTCCTATCCGACGACCAACGACTCCGCCAACGCCTCGAGATCCTCCAGGTATCCGTCTTCGGTGATGGACCCGGCAAGGATAGGCCCTGCTGCGCTTCCCATTCAGGATTACTCCCCGTCCGACTCCCCGTCGAAATATTATTTGGACAGCAGAAGCAAGTACGGCCAACCGCCGCAGCAGCAGAGGGAGAGGACTGCCGCCACCCCCTCGAAGAGGCCCGGAGAGACGATATACGGCGCTGGGGGGCCGAACAAGCAGCCGAGGCTGGACACGTGGATCCAGCAGAGATTGTCGACCGCGAAGGCTCTCTACGAGCAACAGAAGAGGCAAGAGATGAATCTGCCTGTCCCGTTGCCAAATGGGACCCTGGTCGCGCAGAATAGTTACGAGCAGAGGTCGGATAACGGGTACGCGTCGTCCGAGTCCAGGTATCAGCAACCGTCGTACTGTGATAAGAGGAATTACGCGGAGCCTAAGGCCACTCACGCTTCACCGCCCTACGTTCATCCGGTGATCACGAAACCTGCCAACGTTCACTCTGTGCCGCAAGCCGGGCAAACGTCCGTGTACCCGAATTACAGGCAAGGGCAGAAAGGTAGCGGGCCGCCGACAACAGGTGGTGCCACTTCCGGGGGACAGGCCACGACCGAGCCGCCTAGCAACACCGGTGCCGATAAAAGGGTGCTCAGCTTGTTGAGGAACAGCCTGGAGAACAAGCAGCAGAGGGAGGAGCAGATGAACAGTCAGCAACCTATCCTGGCTAATCATAGTCAACAAAGTTTTCAGAATAAGGTATGCGCTCGACGTAATAGCGTGAGAGTGTATGGGCTGGAGTTTCGATTTGTTAGCGAGGTTGTTTTTCATAGTATAAACTTTCGATTAATATTAATTGGAGTAAGTTTGAAAGCTTTCGAGAGTTAAGGGATATTAAGTTACTTCGTGGCGTGGTATGGTTCGGGGGATAAACAGCCTCGTGAAAATATAAAACGATTCTTGAGCTTGAAATTCCCGAGAAGTTGGGTAAATCTCGCACGGCGAACATATCAAATTTCTTCGTTCGTTCCTTTTTATCTCCTGGGAAATTCTTGTTATTTCTATCTCGACATTTTAACATTTATCTCGATTTTTAACTACTTTCCTCTCCTTCCGAAATCCTTTCAAAATTTCTTCTGCATTCAATCTCAACGTGGTCTCGATACATCGATCTCAATTCTTCCCTACAAAATCTGTAATCCAGTCGAATAACTATTCAACCATCCTCTCGTCTTCCTCGAGAATCATATCCGAGAGAATGACGGATGTAACAAGTGACGTTCCAGTGGTGGTCTCAGAGGCGGTGAGAACTGTCCGTTATCGTACTCTAACGCGTTGTGTTCCCTATTCCCAAAGGTTGTTGCACCGGTCGAGCCCAAAACGAACATAGGAAGGCACAACCTGTCACCGTTCACGGCTGCGAGCTTACTGGAACGAAACAGCAACACGCCGCCCCATTACAAGTTCCATGTGCCGAGAGCGGTAGACTCGATCACTCAGGAGGCCCCCCGTAGTTTGTACGGCTCGAGAGTAAATTCATCCGCCACGCTACCTGGCAAGGAGGCACTCCTGGGACCCCGAGGAGCCGAGAATCAGATTCACCGTGACAAAGACGACGGCCTCGCCGCCATATTGGCAGCGAAAATCAGAACGAAGGCGGAACTGAAACAGGTGAACTTATACGTAATGTATTTAATTCGATTTTCTTTTTCGTTTTTCTTAAATTAATCTTAAATTAATTTTCCTTCGATTCGTACGAGTGGATTGTTAATAAAACAATGTTATTCTTTTTTTTTTTTGATTTGATATTTGAAGGTGGGGACCGGCCAATTTGCAACGAAACCGACCAATGTACCCTCTCAGGATGCATCGTCCACTCCGAAAGGTAGAGATTCGAGATTCTTTTGATTTATTGGATTCTTTCTGTTGCTTTTCTTTTCCGTGAAAATCCAATTTATTTCGTTTTATCTTGTAAAACGATGTTTGTTTTATTTTAATAATTATAAGAGTTGTATCTTACAAAGTAACTCTTATTTATTATTGAAACTTGTTATTTTATTTTACACGTCGATGATAATTTAAAAAGAGTAAAGGTAATTAGTCGATGTTTTTTTAAAGAAGAAAATTATCGGAAGTTGAAAGGTTAATATATTTATTCGATCGATACTCTATAAATATTCTTGTATGAAATGTTGATTTTTTTCATTTTTCAAGCTGCTTCGTTAAAATAATTTGTATCGTTAAGTTTTCGTCGATAATCTGTCTTGATTTGTAGGAAAGTTATATTAATTTTTGATTTATATTAAAATAAACAATAATTTCAAATAGCAATATATACCATTGAATATTAAATTCATTTTATAAAAATGAAACTTCTTGCGATCTTACTTCATCGGATCACACATTACGCATCACTTTAAATATTTTTCAAATCCCAGGGAAAACTTAAAAATTCAAATCCACTTTCAGAACAAGACAGCGCCGCATCAACGTCGACACCTCAATCAGGCTCGTCTGCAGGCAGTCCTCCAAAGTTGACACGCGAGAAGGTGGCCTGTTTACCGCCCCGAAGACGCCTGTTCTCCAGAACGGAAGAGGAGAACATGCCGGTGGCCGCGACGGTTCCGGTTCCGGCGCCACAACCTGCGATCGCTTCGAGCGTGCCTGCGCGCGCCAGCGGATTCAGAAGTTCGTCCGAGACTTCGGTGTTCGATTTCAGAGAGAGCGATTCCGAAGGCGAGATGCCTGTTCTCGAGCGGCAAACGCTCGAGGAGATGAGGAGGGACAGAAAACAGCTGTCGAAGGTGCAGCCACCCGTTCCACTGAACGATGCCATGTGCATTGGCATGACCTCATCGTCGGATCTCGTGAAAATAGAATTGAAGGTAACGTTATTTGCGCATGGATGTTTCTCCCGTGATTCGTTCCTGTTTGGTCGAACAGCCTTGAAAAACAATGATTGTTTAATCGGATTTAGATCATCTTGAACGATTCATAAAATTGTTTGAAAAGGAAATATCACTTCTGTTAGAATATAATGTTTCAGTATGTCTCTTTGTAGTGTGAAATAAATTGTAACAATTCTAAAATTAATTGTAAAAATTAATTTGAGATATAATATTGTATCAGTCTCAAAAAGATTAATCTCCTTGGAATACAAAAATAAAATGAAATCAATAGATTTCATTTGTACAAATTATTTCTATAAAATGAATGATATAATTTTAAATGCAGCAATTCAAATATAGCAATGAATAATTTATATATATAGTTTTGAAGAGCAAAGTATTTTTCAATGTAAAAGAGAAAATTACAATGAAAATTATTTCTTAATGTCATCAATATAAATTCTATAATTCTTGATGTCATTTCTCATTTATGTATCTAATTTATATTTTCTTTGTCACGAATATTTTTACTCGATGCAACAATTGCATTAGATTCATCCAACGTTTATCGTTTTCAGGAGAACGACAAGATTACCGAAGTAGACACGTTTTGGTCCAGCACGTGCGACAAGTTTATGGAACAGCTACGAACCGGTGACGCGATGAAGAAACGTGGTCGCAAGAAAAAGGTCAGTTGCACTATAACCTCGAAGCTTGATGACGCTGGAAACGATAGCAGCAAAGAGTCGGACGCGAACACGTCTCAGATCAAACCTGAGGACATCAAAAAGGAGATTCAGGATGACGATTCGCCCATGGACAGCAAGGACGAGTCTCCAGAAGCGACGAAAGATGAGGAATCGTCGGAAATGAAGGATATCAAGGTTGAGGTGAAGACGGAGCCAGAGATGAGCAAGGACGACGAGGAGAAGAATTCCAGCGACGATTCGGACGAAGTACCATTGATTCGACGAACGAAGAAGAAGACGAAGAAGGACGAGAGTGATTGCGAGGAGGAGATAATATGCAGGAAGAGAAGGGTGCGCAGAGGAAGCAGAATTAAATTGCAATCATCCAGTGGTAGCGAATCCTCGAGCGAGGAGAGCGATGGCAGCACGGAGTTTGGTCACGGTTCTTCCGTGGCTGACAGGCTGAGGGCTAGGAAACGGTGCGCCAACAGCAGCGCAGAATCCGAAGGGATGAAGCTTAGATCCAGAGACGCGACGCCGCAAAAATCTAAATCCGAGAAAGAATCCAAATCCTCCACTTCGAAGACTTCTTCCCAAAAAGGAAAACCGAAGCCCCTTTTCGGAGACGGCAGCGATTTTAGGCCTGGTTGGGAGGAGGAAGTTTACGTGTACAAGAAATCCTTGAGAATGCCACCTAGATTGATTACAGTGTCGAAACCGTCTAGGTTTCACAGGTTGTCTACCTCGCTGCCTGATTTGGATCCCGGCTCTCCAGCCTTGTCTGTCTCCATGGATAGTTCTGATGTGTATCTGAACAGGAAGAAGTTGGTTGACAGTGATGTGGAGTCCAATTACAGTTTTAGTACAACTGGAATTGGAATAGGAAGTAAGATCGATGACGAGGAAGCTACGTCGTCCACGACCATTTCGTGTCCGCCCAAGGGTATGAAGCACTCGAAGTCGGAGAACAGTTCTATCGTTGATGTCTTGGCTCAGAAGGTTGGTACCAGTAAGAAGGAGCAGAAGAGGAAACAGAAGGAGAAGTTGGACAAAGGTGCAAATAAAACGCCGCAGAAAGGCACAAACGAACCTGAATTGCTCCCTACTCCGAGTCTGACACCTTTGGTGGAATCGTCGAAATCGCCGAAGGGTAAATCACCAGTTAAAGATAAGTCATTAAAAACTATCAAAATGACAGATTCGTTCCTGTTCGGTTTCCGCAAGGAAACTGTGAACAATTTCCGTGATACGTTTAAGAATAACCACGCTTTACCGAACGAGTTCTCCACATTGGTGCTTAAAAGTAGGACGAGAACAGAGACTAGGGTGTTGAAGAAACAGGCAACAATTAGAGAAGTTTTCGGCGAGGACAGGCCAGCTTCGGCACCACCTATGCAGAATCATGATGATACCTCTCAAGATGACGATTCTCAGAACGAAACACCAGAGAATAGGTTGAGTAAAGAAAGAACCTTGAAGCAGAAAGTGGTTTCGAGGCTGAAGAACGCTGGTATTTTGAGGAGTCACAAGGCGATCATGAACTCGAAGCATCATCTGTTGATGAAGAGGCGGAAGGATCTGTTGAAATCATTGGCTGAGAAGAAGCTGCGACATTTAAAGACTGAGACGGAAGAGGAACCGGCACAGGAGGAAACAAATGATGCGCAGGAGACGGAGAACAATGAGCTCGATGACGAGACCAATGAATCAGAAGTTCCTAATAAGAAGAAGCTTAAACTGCGGACAAGCAGGCGGAAATTCCGCTCCGGATTCGATTACATTCGCAAGAAGAAAAAACCTTTGAAGAAGGATGAGACATTACCCAAGGAAAGAAAGAGGGTGAGTTTTTACAAGAGTATTTTTAGCTATATAAAAAGGGTATATTAAATATATTAATAGTTTATATGTAAAATTGACTGTATATTTAATTCTAGATATTTTTACTGAGTAAATAATTTTCAATGGATTCAATAGCGTGAATATTCATATCTTTTTTATTTACATTAGAATATTTGCTTTACAGCAAGTGTTAACGAGACCCAGTCCAGAGTGCGTAGCAGATATTCAGTCGGAAATTAGAACCTGGGTGATCAAAAAAGGTGTAGGTGAAACGATGCTGCACCGTGCCGCCAGACTCGGTTATACGGTAAATATTTATTGAAAAATAATTCACTCGTTGAAAATTCAATGGCCGCCCGATGTAAAATATTCATTGGTAAACATTTGAATCTAAATTGCATTTTTGCATCGTGTTGGACACAGGATGTCACCGCGTATTGCTTGGAAAAGCTAAATAACGCGCCGAGTCCAAAGGACAACGCGGGTTATACGCCTCTTCACGAGGCGTGTTCCAAAGGCCATCTCGAAATCGCGAAATTGTTGCTCGCATACGGTGCGAATGCGAGTGAAAGTGCCAATGGTGGAATAAGGTGATCAACAAACTCGAATTTATAAATTTATTTCCTCTCTCTTCATTTTCTTTAAATTAAAATATATTGAAACACGATGTGCTTTATCACAGACCACTTCACGAGGCAGCTGAAAATGGTGCTACCGAACTCGTACGCCTGCTACTTTCCTATGGCGCTGATCCCTTATTAGCCACTTATTCCGGACAAACCCCGCTAATGCTAGCAGCAGATACCGATGCCTATTCGATCTTAGAACAACATTTAGACGATATCCAGGGTCGTGCGAGTACACCATGGTCTTTTGGCGGCCCGTCGTCTATTTTTGGTACGTCGTAATTTATAAGAATCTAATCTCTTCCCAGGTAACTTGTTTTCTTTAATATTTTCGATTCCATGTTTACATTTCGTCACTTTCTTTCGTGGTTTATCAATTCTTCTTTATATACATCTCTGGCAATAGAAAGTTTAAAATTAGAACTACCTTCAGTATAGTTTATTATTCGATATATATCAATTGAATAAATTAAAAGCAACTTATTATATCTTTTCAGACCTCGAAGAAACTGGTTACAATCCCCTCGACGATCCTCCTATGGACAGTCCAGAACCCGAACTAGATGAAATCGAGGTAGAGATGGGTGATGTGAATCTGCCAGTTCTCTTTACTCTCACCAACGATCCGGATAAATGGATGCTTCTCCAAGACTTGATGGCCGCTCTTCGAATAAAGAGTAGAGACGCGTTACTCCGTCAAATAAATCCGAAAGCTCACTCCGGTCCACCAGCCATTGCCCATCGTGACGTGATGAAAGAATTAAAACTTCAAGATTTTCTGGAACAATCTCGTTGCTGCCATTTGCTCAGTGGTGGCGAACGAATCAACGTGAGGGGGTCTAAGGTGACTCTGATCAAGTACAACGACAAAGTAAGATCTCTGTTGAACGTGGAGAAGGTGGTGATCAGCCTGAGGTGACAGGAGGCACCTCTGGGGCAGTCATCACCCCAGGCTAAACCGTCGACTTCCGCCTCGAGGGAACTTCCGAAAAAGAGCTCGAGCGTGTCGCCCAAGAGACAAGCCAGAACGCGACAGAGTAACAAGACAGCTGCCACGGATTGAACGTGAACCTGAAAATCTTGTTCGCTGTGAAAAGTCGCTCGTTTGAGCTGTTTTGAGTCTCTCGTTCGATAGAGGCCAGCTTTTTCCTCTCCGATTCCGCTCGACGAGGCAACCGGGGTCGAATATAAGGTGCGAAAACTAATTTAAGCTTACGATAGAGGAAGATCGTTCAATAACAGTGCTTTCTGACACTATTTAGCAGTATTTATTGACAAATGTTCTCTACACGGTGATATTTTTATGGATGATCGAGTCCTGAATAATGGTTTTTCAATATGAAGATTGTTATCTTGTTCAATGATATCATACTGTCCTGATCTTGTATAATAATTCGTTCAAACATTCAATTCGAAAGCGAAATAATATTTGAACGATCCTTGCGAATATTTTGGAATCTGATAGGCGTCCATACGCTTATTTTCATTCATTCGATTATTCGTATTGAAAGAATCGATACTCATTGTCGAAGAGAATTTGAAACTGTGAATGGTAACTGCGTGCGTTCTCGATTGAATCGATTATGATTGTTTCGTTAAGTTAACAGAGAACAAACGTTGAAAAATATAGTTATCGAATTATTAGTACGTTGTTAATTTCGTTTTTTCTCTGTCTTTCTTTCTTTCTCTCTCTCTTTTTTTTTTTTTTTATTAGTAATAATAAGTCGATTAAAGTATAATTCGGTTACGCGTTTACAAAGATTTAGATTTAAGCAAGCGTTTATTAATCGTCGAAATATGGAGCATTTACGTTTTTTTTTTCTTTTCTTGTTTTCTTGGGATGTGCAATTTCGCGAGTCCACTTCTTGTTAAATGATTACCGATTAAACGCGATCGATCAGCGCCCCTTAGGTCTGAGAAACGTAAGAAAATGGATCGACCGTGTAATAGACACAGTGTGCAATAATTTTCATCGAATTCGCGATGATTGATCCTCGAATTAGCGATTTATTTTGCAAATAATATTCAATTGTTAGCTCGTTGGAACCGAGAAAGTAATCGACGCGTTCACTGTTTAGTTCTACTCTATTTCTATTTTTTTTTTATCATGTTCATCGTTATCACGTATCGTTACGTTGAAAATTTCTTTTTTTTGTTTGAAGTTTCATCTATCGGATTGGTGCAATCCAATTGATTAATTTTTGTTATCGATTTAATATAAGTGTTTCATTTTTATGTTTACTATATATGTATATATATATAGAAGAAAGAAGATAGAATGAATATGTTGAAGATTATCATGTTCAGCAGTGAACGTGTTCAAAGGATCATTGATGCATTTAAACTAGACTTTTTTCATTTACATGCGTCGATGGAACCGATCTCTACGTACTTATATCTTCGGAAGCGTGTCGAAGCATGTGTCGAAATAGAATGAAAAATAAAAAAAATTTCTACTTGTATCATAGACACAAGCTTAAGTTGTTTAGCAAAAGCATGCTTACGCGCTTTCATTTTGACTCCGTGTACAGAGGATTAGTCGTTCTGATCAGTCTCAGGGAAATATCCGTACGCGTATTCTCGATAATCCTATGCGTTGCATCGATTCAAACAGGGATACGACCAGGCATCGTAAAAATATTCGATTGATCTGTAAAACGATCGTCAAGATGTTGTTATTTCCTCATGATGTACAGTAGACAGAGAGAAAGAGAGACACCGTTTCGTCTTCGTACGTTGAACGATCGTTCCAGATCGAGATCGATCGATGACTGGTCGCTCGCTCGCTTCTTGTTTTTTTTTTAATTTTATTTAGCTGACGATTTCTAAACGAATATTACCGATTAATGTCGTGGACGAGATGGTGTTTACACGTGTACATACATATTTTCGAATAAAAATCTAACGTCATCTGCCGTATGTGTGCGTCGAAGAGTCCCTTGCAGATGGCGATTTCTGTGCATCATCCATCGTGGCTGTTTAAGGAAAAGAATGTTTGAAATGAGATTTAAAAAAAAAGAACATATGTAGAGGAGAGGGGAAATGATATAAAAGTTGATATAAAAGTAGATCGAAGGCAGTGAATCGAGTGAATCGAGGCAGAAAAGAAATAATTGTACGTGTAATGTACCTTTAAAATGTAAAGTAGATATTGAATAATAGTGTAAGTAGCCAGGAAAAACACGACACTTGTTCATAATTACTATAGTCGCGTATAATACACATTTGCGCACGTGTAATTGTATAAGGAAGGGAAAAAGAGAAAAAAACCAGCGTTTTAGAATTAACTTGAGAAAGAATATTGTAATTTCAGCGAAGAAATAATCGAATAATATGCTGTTTAAAAGCGTATGTATATATTATACACAACACGACAGACACAAAAGATAAAAACACTTTCTCGCAATATAATAGGGGCTATCGCAGTTACTACCGCTACTAATTATTAATTACTATTACTATTATTACTACCGGTCACCGATTACTATTACGAATACTACGATTACCGCTATTACTATTACTATTTGCCACTACCAATACTATTAACTATTACTACTACTGTCACGACTATCCGCTTTTTTTATTGTACGATATATACATAATACCGAACTATGAATGTACATTTTCTTAGCTGTAACGTTTCCTCCTCCTCCATTGTAATTTATACTATATTATATTCGAGGATACTTCTAAATGTGTTAAAAGAAAAAAAAAAAAAAAAAAACAAACCGCTGCTGCTTTACGAGAAGAAGGAATTTTATGTGAGAAAGAACAAAATATATTATATATATATAAATATATAAATATATATGTATATATATACGTACATATATATATATTTTATTTCAGAAGTTTAGTTTAATGGATATATAATGTTAAAGAAAAAACAAAAAAAATATGCGAGAAAGAATACAAATTAAATTCTCTCTGTGATTCGTCTAAAGAATGAAATTAAGGAAGTAAAACAAAAGAAAAAAAAAAAAAGGAAAAACAAAAAAGAAGAAAGAGTTATGATTATATTGATTAATTAGTATTATTATTGTCATCGTCATTTATCATTGCTCTGTACCGTCAAATTTATTGAATAACAAGTCACAACCGACCGACAAACTCAATTTTCGTAATGAACTCGACTCGTGATTTTCTTTTCGCTAATAACAGTAACGAGTTATCCTATCGATGTAATAAAAACAAGTATTTTTACCGATATCAACGTCTTTTTGATTTCTTTACGAGCACCTGCCCTCCATTGTTAGCCACAAATCGTGAAAAATTTCTAATTTCAAAAATCAGGATAAATCAGATTTGAGGAGTCACGTTCGAAGGGAAGAAAGGATGGATGGTTCTCTGAAACAGATTTAAAATTGGTAAAACGTTTATTAACTATTTAAAAACGATGAAACAAGGTGAACATGAGATTGACAATTCAATAAGTAATATTATTAAATAGACTATAGAGGTGTATAATAAGTGTCTGTAGTAATTATTCTCTTTATACGTTCCTTTACATCGAGACAGACGTCTTTTTTCCATCATCTTCTTTTCAAGATTTTCTCGATTTAACTTTCGGCGAATCCCAGCTCATTTCCGATCTCCTTTTCTCTTCAGGCACAACCTGTGCGATAATATTATTATATGACAACGATTTCTCGTTATTCGATTCATTCTTCAACTATCAATAATACGATTCCATTATATATTCATTCACTCTTCGTATTTTTTCTTTCGTAAATACGTGCGACGACTGTTGCGTTAACGATTTTAAACACAGGATTTATCGTAGGAAAAATAGCTCGTAGAAAGCGTACCCATGCTAATTATTATACCCGATCAATCGGTATGTCGTAAATATTTGTCGTTTGACACATTCTACGAATAAACGAAAAAAGGAAACGAAGAACGCAAAAATGGATCCTTCCACTCGTCAAATCGAAGGAAATCGAGCAATCGACGATGGCGAAACGATTCGATAATCGCTGCACGATCGATGACTGCCGAAACAAGTGGTTAGTAGGTTAATAACCATTGCGACGATACGCAGTTGTACGTATAAACTCTTCTCGCGTTTTCTAACCTTTCTTTGTTTCATTGTCTCGTAACCCTTGATACGATTCTCTTTTCTATATTTTCCACGATTTCTTCTATTCACTCGTATAAGTACTGTATGTAATCGACGAGCAATTATCTCGATTATATCGCATTCTCTTGTCTATACCAAATCTATCGATTCAACGCGACGACATGATGTAATCGAAAAGATGCCATTCAATGATTTGTTTTCTCGTGATATTTTCGTTATCCGATCGCCTTTGTGAAAGTGGTTCGATACAAGGCGTTTTCGTTGGTCTGGGTGGAGTGAAACCTGTTTTACATTTATCGTCAAGGTGATACGTATTTCACGATGTTACACGATTCTTTGCGATATTGTCTTAAAACCTGTCCAGTTTTCCTTACTACACACGCATGTATACACATTTAGTTTTCTATGGATTGGCATCGACCAATCGTAGAAAGCGAAATGCAAAAGTAACGGTTTTCTTGCATCGAATTTAATACAAACGTCGTTACGTCATATATCTGTGGCTCGACACGATCAAGAAAATACTACGACCGAACTTCGTCCATGGTTTCACGCTACCACCATATACCATCTCGATTATCTCGGGTATAGGTATTTACAATAATATATATATATATATACCTACTATATCGTAATAATAATTTAGTAGTGGTATTTAAATTACAATAGCGTTCATTCTTTTTCTCGCGATCTCGTTTCTCCCTTTCTCTCGCGCGCGTTCTCTATTTATATATATATATATATTTATATGTATATATATATATAATGTTGCACATAACCCAGTACTGGCTTAGTAATCTAGCTGTACAAAACATTATATACCGCTATTCTAGCATCTAGAGATTTGTCCTGTGAGGTTTGATGAATCGTGAGGTTCGTAACATGCGTCTGGATTTTGTTCTTTTTCTCTATTTTGTTTTTTTCTTTCTAGTTTCTCTTTCTTTTTCTCACAAAAAATTTTAATTCTCGCTTTTCTAGTTTCCTTTTATATTATCTTTTCATTTGTCCTGCTAGTACATTTTACGTACGAGTTTCGCTTTGTCAGACAACGAATCTTCCCGATTCCCCCCTCTGTCTCTTGTTCGCTTCTTATTGCGATTAAGTACATTAAAAAATACCGTGCTACTTCGCTCAGAATTAACCGGACCAAGCTATACATGTATTAATATGTTCGGTGAAGCCAAGTATTATTTTTTATTGATTTTTTTTTTATTTCCGTTTACTTTATTTTGTCAGCGTATCTCGTACTTTGTCTTGTCATTTAATCGTCGCGATTTGCGCGTGAAAAAATTCTTTGTTTATAAGCGTCTAACGTGCTGTGCGCGTCTTACAAACAATCGCGACGAATATCTATCTTAAACATCTATTATCTTTTTTATTTTATTTTACTTTATTTTATTTTCGTTTTGTCGCTCGTTCTTCTTTTTCGTTTCACCTTTTTCGACTTCAACCGAGTGTCGATCATTCGTTTGTTATTCGTCTTTCTTTTTCTCTCTCTCTCATGTTTCCAAATTTCCCGTGAACTGTATACATACAATGTAACATACACATTACGCATCGCAGTTCGCGATCAGTCGAAGAAGAACTACGACGCGAGTCTTTCAGTAAAACTCTTCAACATGTCGGCTTCGTCGTGCCGAGTCGAGTTGTCGTCAATACATTAAAATCATTTCTGATACGAATACACGATCATGTGCTCTTTTGATTTTATAACGAAAACCAGGATTAGTGTTTAGTGTTATAAAACGACTACGTGTTCAATATTTTCGTCGCAATAAGGAGAATCAATTCAATAATCGAAATATCGTGTATTCGTTCTTGACATTCTACAACACAATGATAAAATTCAACGCAAAGATACGCATACACGACGATGCTTTTTTCACATTTTACTCAACAAATCCACTCGTCACATGGAAACCATGAGAAAACATCGTGATACGACGAAATACTTCTGATATTAACGCTATAACATGTATGTATGTATCCTCTGCCTAACAATCTTTCTTAAAAACATAAATATTCAGATGTCTCTCATCGAAACGGATAACAATTATAGAACACGCCATCATTTTATCGTTTTATCGTTTTATCAACAATAATTTTATCGATTAACAATGAAACATTTTGTCACGGCGTGAACGATCGCGGAGAGACTCTGAATATTCTTTTTCGAAACATATTCCGTTATTATTATTAATATTATTATTATTATTCTTTCTTTAATCCTCTCCTTAATCTAATAATCGCCTCCCAGTGAAGCTTGCAGACATATTATTCCTCCTCGTATTACTTTCAGCGTTTTACACGATACAAAGTCTTTTCTTTTCGACGAGCTTGGTGCGCGGCTAATGCCTTAACTGGGACATTGTGCTACTCGATTGGGTGTGTAATAGGGATGAAGTGAGGTGGGACGGGTTCAGGATGGGAACGGGGAAGGCATTAGAGAGTTACTCGGTTATTTTTATTAAGAGTAATTAAGCTTGACGCCTCGGAGGTAGGGTCCAAGCGTTTGGACCGGGCTGAGCGTGGGGGGCAGGACGTCACAGTTGCTGGTCTCTGCACGGTACCCAAATGTTCGGGCCTGATTGCTCGGCGATCACCTCCTTTACCTTCACGTATATCTCCTCCGGTGTGTCGCCTTGCACCACGGCTGTAATTTTAAGGAGAATTTAATTTCAAGAAATTCAATTTTCCCTATCAATAATTTATTTAATTATGAATATTATAGTTATCAATTGATTGAGGTGGCAAGTAAATTAGCTGTGTGATATAATTCAGCGTTTCTTGATCTTCTTGTCTCTTGGCATAATGTACTGATTTGTATCGTGACCTAAATTAATTTTGTAATTTAAAATTATTAAAAATTTGATAGATTAGATCTTATTATTGAATATATTATATAAAAAATTGGATTGCATTCTTGAAAGTACCTTAAATATTTAATATTTTTAAGATTTCAAGAATCAAAATCATGTTTTAGGATGAGCAAACAATTGAATGATTGTTATGTTCACATGGAGGAAGTTAGAAAAGATATTTCTATTACATATTTTAGAGATTATACGTATTTAAATTTTGTGAATGCAAATATGAATTTTTAATATCGAATAAATTATATATAGATTGAAAAATTTATTTATTATTTTGCATTATTTACCAGTAAAGTATTCTCCGAACTCTTGCTCCATTTTCAGTGCTCGTTCATATGTTTTTTTCGCTTGTTCTTCGGTCATCCTCTTGTTCATTTCCCTTCGAATATCAATAATTGCTCGTTAAATTATACTCGAAATTTCCAAATCAAATAAAAGAATTGTCACTTACATAACTGATTCCACGGATTTTGGTTTAATGAAGATGGCGATGGGATACAGCTGCGCCACTTGTAACCTCTTGATGGCGTTTCCACTCACGTCGAGAATACAGTGTTTTCCCTTAATTAACAAATTATTTTTATCAATTTACGATATTGAATATTTTTATTCGTATTTATAAGACTGTTTATTAAGATTCTTTTTTTACTTTTTCAGCGACTTCTCGCACGGACGCCACAGATGTGCCATAAAGATTGTCATTGTACTGTCCGGCCTCTATGAACAAATGATTTTGAATGTCCCTCTCCATCTGTTCCCTAGATGCGACGAAATGATAATCACGTCCATCCACTTCGTACTCTCTTCTACTCCTCGTTGTATCTGTGGAAATGAGAAACGTTTAACATTCTCTTTTTAATAAAATAATTTAGAATAATTTCATTTCTGTGTAACAAATTTAATTTTTTGTTTCAGGATATTTCTTAAAATTATTCTTGAGGTTTTCAAAAATATTGTAATGATTTATATCTATTATATAAAGTTTAATTATAAGGTAACCATGTGTTTTAACTTGAATTTATGAATCTTTCTTTTATTATTTTTTTTAATATTTCTTTTTTCTTTCAGGTAAAAATCTCTTGGCCTCAAATAATTAGTTTAATTTAATTTCAAAGTATACGATAATATGAATTACTCTTAGAGAGAACCAGGTACACAGAATACTTTTTAATTGACATTGAATATTCAAAACACACGATCATCTTACTAATCATTAAAACGATTACTTTTTAAATTATCATATTTACATATATATATATCTAATAACACATTATATTTAACTTCGTTATCTCATCCAAAGCAAAATATAGCCACCAGACAGACAGATGTAACGAGAGAACAAGCTGCTTCGTTGTTTCCAACATAACACGAAAATCCTCTGAAAATCTCAGGATCTAGCTCCATGTAACGCGTGACCCAAATCAGAGGTAGAGGTAGATTAAAATCCATTTCAACTTACGTGGCACACAGCTGCCGAATTTGTCGGGGAATTCCGAGATGAGGTCGTCGTTTATGCGATCCTTGAGAGGACCGAGGATAATGACAGGTCGTGTGTACTGTATGGTGAGCTGCTGGACTGCCTCGTACGACAGCACATTTTCTTCGCTGCCTGCAATTTCCGGTATAAGTATACTCGTGTTTCCAAGATATTTTTGAACATTGTGAAAGCTTTTGTTATCCTCGGGTTAGAAAATGTTTTTTTTTTTTTTGCACTCTTTCAAACAGCTAAGGGATACAAACGTTTCTCTATCGATCTGGTCGAGAGAGAATTAACAAATTCTCGAGTATTCTCGAAATTTTTGTTCTCAAGAGAATAGATAGATTGTATTATTTCTTGTACATTCTGATTAGAAATCACGTATACAGAAACGCGACCAGGGATTATTATTATTATTAATATGTTTACTGTCCACCTCGATGGAGAAATGATCCATGCTTTAGCATCTAGGAGATTGAAGCAAGGTTTAAAGGAGTAAAAGGGGATTGGTAAAGCTTCTAAAGAAATTTAGATCGAAGAGTGTATCAAATTCGACGTGGCATTATTAGTTACGTGGCGACTATGCTATTATACGATAGGGTTTTTGTAATCGATACTCGATTCTACGTGGTTGTAACGATTTTAATTACACCAAAAAGCGTCGCTTCTTCACTTTTTTCATGAATTCTTTCTTTTTTCTTTTTTCTTTAGCAATTATTTAGTTCATTTCTTTCAATTTTAATAATATCGATCCCATAAGAGAATAATTTAAAACGATATTGTCATAATCGAAAGAAAATACTTAACCAAACATTTATTTCATAAGAATTTGGCAAAGATCTTTTCAACATGAGTTTTTTAATTAAAAAAAAACTTTATAGAAGCGACGCGATTTCATATCTACGCAGTGTAACTGCGACTCTCGTTAAAAGTCTACATGAGGATAAATAGTGTTATATATATAAAGAAACCAAGAAAAAAACGGCAGACAACAGACAAGATAAAGCACGTCGCGACTGTCCCAATTGCGCGAAGCGTTTTCGGCGTTTTGTCAGTGCAGTAGATATTATAATAGGAAATTGGTGAAAATTAAAAAAAAAAAAGAAAAAAAAAAGTTAAAATTAAACGTAAAAGAAGGTATTTTATATCGATCGAAACAATGTTCGATATCAAGTGTTAGTCAAGGACCTAAGAAATTGGTATAATATTGGTATTTGTTGTTCACTCTTGTTTTCTTTTTCCACACACTTTGACATATGTATATATGTATGTATTTTTTTTTTTCTTTTCGTGTATTGTGTATCACTTACTAAACTCGTCATTATTGTCATCGTCCTCCTTTTCCAGATAAACTAACGTCAGTTCCTCCATATAAGGCAGTTCGACGCGATATAAAATTTCTCTACTCCCTGCGACGCAAGACAAGATCTTTTTGTGAATGAAAAAGGTGGAGTAAACGCGCGATGAGATGAGATAGGAGACGAAGAATGAACGCGTTCTAAGACGAATATCGTGATATATCGTTTTATGAGTTATATTAGGCCTCGAAGACGCTCGAGCGAAGCTTTTAACGAAAGCTGGAGGACGTTTTTATTCTGTCGAATACTGTTGCTTTTTTTTTTTTCGTTATATGATCGAAGGTCTCGCCATTGAATAAATGTTATGGATGTTCGATGATTCATGTAAGTGTTAATACGAAGAAATGATATAGTACTAATTTTAAAACGAATATTAAATTTTTAGATAGAAATAAAAATGTAAATTTTGAAACGTTGAGTGATTCAACTAGTGACGTGTCTCCAATTTTGTCTTGAATATTGTTTCTCATCACTTTTATTAAAATCTAATATTTCTCTTCGCGTTGACATCTTCAAATAAATACACGAAGATTATTATAAACTTCACAAAAAAAAATCACAAATATTATTTTCGATGCTAATAAACAAACACGATGATAAATGAAGCTATCCATAATTTTTAAGATACGTCACCAGTCGAAGCTGAAACGTAAAATCGCAAAAAAAAAAAAAAATGAAGAACAAATAAACAAAAAAATAAATAAATAAAAAAAAAATTCACCACTAAAAATATAGGTTTCGATTGCTCGACTCACAGTTGTTCCTCTTCGAAGTCGCTAGGTTCGTTAATCGACAACGCGATGTAAAGAGAGTACGAGCATCTATTCAAAAGTGACAACGCGCCACGACAAAAGGACGTTGTCGAACAATGTGTTCGTCCCGCGAACGGATCGTTATATCGCGGTAATGAACGTGTGCTTTGTTAATTGATGCGACCGAGATGAAACGAAGAGAAGTAGGTTGGGGGTAGGTTGGAATGTATAATGGTGGATTGAAATGAAAGACAGACAGAGAGAATAACAGAGAGAGAACGAGAGAGAGAGAGACGAGAAAGGAGATACAAATATAATAGGAATGGGTGACACAGAAAGAAAGAAAGAGAGAAAGAGAGAGAGAGAGAGAGAGAGAGAGAGAGAGAGAGAGAGACGTGATTACCTTCGGTGTTAGTGTCGTCCTGGGTGTAGCACAGCATGAATGCTAAAACATAACAAGTTCAATATTTCAGTATACGTTGCGTACTAATAAGCGGCCGTTAATAATTGCTAGGATTAATTAAGCTTTAAGCATGAACAATCATCTCCCCTACCGTGACTGGCTCGAGCTTTCGAACAGTCTTGATTGGCCCATTGTGATAGCTCGCACGATCGTTCTCGGTTTTTTTTCTGACGTGCACGCGAGTTTTGACTGTATCTACTGTTGTTTCGTTAAAAAAAAAGCTTGGCATATTCGACGATAATATATTCCGTTTAATGATGGAAATATGATAAATGGAAAAAAAAAAAATGAAAAGGAATTTTTTCGGGTATCCAGTTTTATAACAATTTCGTTTCGAATCGAACTCGCTTTAATTTTTCGTCGCCATGTTGAATGTATTGTGTGGGCGTTACTATTCTCAAAGATCGTTGTTCTTCTGCGAGAGGAAATTTTCAAATTGAATTTTTCTATTTCAACTTATTTATCAAGTAGTTCTATTAAGAGATATTTATTTATTTTTCAAATGAAAAAGAAACCCGATCCTGCTAGAAAGTTGAAGAGTTGCACGCCGCTTTCACCGTTCAAATTCTAAAAGTAATTAAGAATTCTAATTTTGCCACTTTTGTAGCAAACGGTGTTCTACTCTCAGGCATCATAGCCTCGCGTCTCTTAACTCGTATCTATTCAAGAGCAACGTATTCAATATTTAACAACGAACTTTCACATGGGTACAATCACAATCTTCGTGAAAAGTTAATCAACGATTCTTCGCGGATAGATTTCTTCGCACAATAAAATAATCATTTCACAGAGATCATGTCACTCGAGAGATTTTCACTCGAGGGAAAATCGCCAAGAGCATCGAGTGGTCGCACAGAATGCATGAATATTACACGGTGTCCGAGATTCTCTACAAGCGTACGAGGGAGGCTCCTCTACCTCTCTACCACAGAAAAATATTAGCCAAATTAGAAAGCAAAGTTAAGTGTCGCAGCTTGCATGGTCGCGTGTTAATGATCAAACCCAGGCAAACACGTGAAATGCTGGTGTATTTGGTGTGCTAGGATGAAGTTGCAGAGTGCAAAGGGGCAAGCATAATGTTGAAGAGGATGCACGAAAGAGGAGACCTCTCGAGAAGTGTGTAAAATGGTTCACAGGGTCGCTTGATAATCGTTTCTGTTTCCTCTTTTGATTTACTTTCTTTTCTTCCCCCCCTCCCCTGTATTATACTTATTACTCTTCGTGGATTAATTATTATTATTATATTTTTAATCGAAAAAAAAAAAAAGAGATAGAGATATGTGTGCACGCGCACGCGTGTGTGTTCAGTGTATGGTATGGAAAGTATGTAGGAGGTGTAGGTGTGTTTCGTGTGATATCTTGTATCTTGTTTCTTCTTGTTGACTAACTTGTTGGAATACTTACGTGTAGGATCGTTTTCGTTCTCGGGTGTCGTGGGCGACCCTACACAAGCAGGCAAAAACAAAACACATGTCACGTTTTCACATGGTAAAAAAAAAAAAAAAAACACAAAAGCTCAATCGGAAGTTGGGCGTATTCGTCGTACCTGTCACGGATTACTAAACGATATTTAAAACTTGCCAACACGTGCCTCGTGAGCAGGCCGAATCGGAGATTGGAGAGACATTAAAGACAATTATTCTTTGAAAAAAAAAAAAAATATTTTTTGTGGGTTGGCTTTGGTGCATGTTTCAATCAAAAAATTATCCGTATTTAACGTTACATCTGATTGAAAAGGGGGGAAAAAAGGTACGCAGAGAAAAAGAATATAATCAAACGAAAGAGAGAAACACAAAGAGAGTCTAAAGATTCACGAATCTTCTAGTCTTTCTATTGAAGTCGTCACAATTCACATTTGAGAAAAAGGAAAAAAAAAAAGGCGTCGATTTGATAGAAAGAACATTCGCATTGGGATATATCAAGACACGTAAGAAGTACTAATGTAAATTCAAACACACGATCTAATAATAATAATAATAATAATATATATATATATATAGTGATTGAGAAATACGACGAGAACAAAAAAGAAAAAAAAAAATTATCACGTAAAAAACCACAATATATAATATATACGGGTCTGAACATGCACAGAACGTGCAGGATTCTATGAATTCGCCATGTTTCGAGACACTCACGTTCCTGGTCCGAACCGTCCTCGGATTTATCGTCCTTGCTCTTCATGAACGGGAACTTCCTGCTGAACGAGAAATTCTTCTTTTTTCTATCCAGAGTCGATTGCTGCAAAAAGAAATGGAAAAAAAGGAACGATAATTGTCAGTTACCATTCTTATAATATCTTATAATTCTTATTTTCGAATACTGAAAGGATTGTTTCACAAATTGTCAAACTTTACAATTACATTATAAAGTATTTATTAGACTTGAATTCTTCTATTAGTTCCAAGAATCTTGGGGTGGAAAAAAAAAAAAAAGATGAAGCTTTAATTCTTTCGAGAAAATATATAATTAAATAGGATCGATCTGATTTATGATTGCTCGATCGAGGAGCGAGCTCACCTTGTCGAGGATGACCGGCATGTGGCCTTGGAACTTGACGGAACGATCTCTGGCGCGTTGCTTCCGTTCCCATCGTCTGCGCGACGGTATTATGCCGAGACCCTCCTCCTCGCCCTGAGGAGTCACTCTTCTGGCTTGCCACCATTCGTCGTCGCTGGCATTCGTCACGTGTAGGATTTCACCGTAACGGAATGCCAAACCACGGCTCGGCAAGCCGTCGTCCTTGTTAGGATCGTAGTCGAACAACGCTCTGCGAAAACAGGATGAAATCATTTTATGATTCACGATCGTTTGCCCATCGTTTCGTTTAACGAACGAATTTTTGTCGTTCAAATTACAAAGAAGAAATTACATTTCTCTTAGTTAATTATTATTACTCTACCTAACGTAAAGAGATTTCTTTTGCGAAGTCCTCATTAGGGTGCCTGTCATCAAATTCTGTTGAGAGATCTGCTGTTTAAGATCATGGATCTTTGCCTCGAATCTGTTGTAGTCTTCGGGCTTGTACTGTACCACGATCGTCACTGTCTGCCCGGTGCCCTGGACAGAGTATATAATTCGCAATTTATAAATATATATAGAACAGATGTTTGTCGTTTGGAGTATCGAGAGAGTGAAGTTTTTTTAAAACTCGATCGGAAGGGATCTTTCTCTGTTTCTGAGATACCTTAAGGGCCGCGGCGGCCTCTTCATGGGTGGCTGTCCGAAGATTAATGCCATTGACACTGAGTATCTGATCGCCACGACGTAGCTCACCGCTGAGATCGGCCGGGCCTCCGGCTAGGATGAAGGAAATAAAAATTCCCTCGCCATCTTCGCCACCGACGATATTGAAACCCAGTCCGGAGGAACCTTTGTTGAGCACGACTGTACGTACCTCTCTGGAAAATGGGAACGAAAGAAAGAAAGTTTTAATTACCGCCACATTTTCAATTATATAATACCTATTCGATCTAATTTTCATTCAATTTTAATTTCGATTATCGGAGGAGGGATCAGTTTCGATGTTAATAATCGAAATCAAGCAAGTGAAGAGCGCTCAAGGTGTATCGTTTCGCTCGCTGTGTCTTTTGTCTTCGAGAAAAGAGAGAAAGATATTTAATTCTCTCGTTAAAGAGATACTTCTTCGTCGAAAGAAGAAGAAGAGGGGAAGATGATTCTCGAGATACTATTTTTCTCCCCGAGCTTAAGGGGTTAAAGTTTTTTCATTAGGGGTCCAAGTGGTATCGAGTTCTTGAACTATGTTGCCGGCCATTAATTGCTCCAAAACTTATATTGCTTTAATTAAATTCGTCGCGACGGAGAAAGGGGAAATCAGTTTAAGTTTATACCTTCGGACAAGCGCATAAGAGCTTTGCTTAGCTTTGCATGTAATGATCGCAATAAAACACACTTGTATTTCAAGCGAAAGATGAGATTAAAATTCTTTCGTCACGTCAACGCATAAAAGAACTTGTCGGCAAGCTCATAATACGACTGTGAGAGAGGATTGTTTCCCAATAAAAATTTTTATCTTCTCTACACATTTCCACGAGTACTTTTTCTTTAATATCTTCGGTATATATAAATGTTTCTTTCTTCTTTTTAGAGGATCTGTAATTTTTAATCTATTAGGATCATCCTCATTAATTGAAGAATATTAATTCTTAAAAATTTGCCTCACCTCAAACATAAGAAGAAAGAACATCATCATTTGAATATCGTAAAAGATAATCGTAAAAATAAATTGAAAAACAATCAGTTTCGTCGTCCAATTCGAGAACGAAAGAAAAACATTCGATTTATCCATTTTCTTCTAGAACCAATATACGCTATATTCTATAAAGATTCATGGAAAAACAATGTAATCACGAGGATTCATCGAAAGACAGATAAATCTCGAACGGTATGCACTAACCATTTATTCTCGTTACAAAGGATGGTGGACACGGAGGGGGGAAAGAGAGAACACGAAATTCCTTGCTCGTGGAAAGGCACTGAAAGCTTAGGCAGTTAATCACCGCGAGTCGAGGGATACGCAATCCCCAAGTCAATGGACAGAACACGAGACAATTCGCGAACAGAATCTGCATTGTCCGCGGGATGACTGGATTTTAAAGGCTGTAACACGTTCAGAAAGTTTCGTTTGTCAATATTACCACCTCGTGTTCGAGATGGTGCATGTCGATTGTGTCGATACATGTGGTTCGATGGAATTTCTGTAACGAGAATATATATATATATATATTCTCTTCTATATATATATATATATATATATATATATAGGTCAGATGGAAAAAGTTTGTACGTAACAATTGTTAGTGTAATCGACAAGGATTCTTGTGCAGACAATTGTTAATATAACAGAATGACAAGAATTCTCAGTAGAATGAAATATATTTATATGAGATTGGATACTTTCGATTTAATTTGAAGATTAATGGAATGGATTTTTTAAATTGAAATGAGAATCGGATATCTAGAAGTACAATTTGATTTGATAATTTAATAGTGTATATTTATTTCTCTAATGAAGAATAAAGAGCTATTATTATCCCATTTCTTTACATGATAATATAAATCTTTCAAGAAATGATAATCTACATTATATATGATTAACGTGTTAGAAAATATGTGATTCCTTAAAAAAGGAAAAACAAGATTGATCTTGTGTATTCGTACATTTGTAAAAAAATTAACAAAATGATTTCCTATAAAATAAATAATTTGCAAATTATTTGAAATAGTCACGTTACATAATTCATTCTCTGTATCTTGACGTCTAGAAACTTCCTTCTTCTTCTTCTGGTTAAAGGAGATTTCCGGAAATGCTTTTCAATGTATGTGATGAAATTCAAATGGATGTACGAAATTACGGCGATGATTAAGCTTCCTATTGAAATTCAACCGTTTCAAGTTGCCCGTGTGACGAGGCTCGAGTGACTGGTGACAAGGATTCAACAATCTAAGGATTCGTGAAAATGATGAGTAGTCGAGAACACGTGTCGTCCTTTCGCAGATCTCTGCGAAAGCGTTTATTTCGCATCCCTTTGTTATCGAATAATCGATTGTAGTCACTTTCGAGATTCAATATTGCATGATACGTAAAGAGTTTGAGAATTTGAATATGCAAACAGTTTGAATTTGTACATTCTTGGAATTAACGAAAATAACGTAACGATAGAAAGATGATATTTCTAAAATTAACAATTCCATCGTGGAACAATGAAAAGTGATAAAAGAATGTTCGAAAATCAGTATCGAATTTGAATCGACAAAATTAAATTCCAGAGGAAATTTTCAAGATTCAATTATCACAAGATCCAAGAGTTGAAAATTCGAAACAGTGAATATTAAATTAATAAGAGAAACGATATATATTTAAACGTGTGAAATTTCAAAAATATAATTGTAACAAATTTGATAATTTAATAGTTTGATCCTGGAAAACTCTCCTTCAAAAAATGCAATCTCCTTGCATCGAATTTGCGTACAGGAAATTGGTAAAACTGATCAGGAAATGAGCGAGATTGCAGCGTCACAGTTGCGGAATCCAAGATATTGGTTCATCCAATCCTCCGAGTTATCGGTATAATCAAGTTCTATAGGGTAGATGCTATCGTTGGAATTAGGTTGAACGTCTCAGACATGTGGGTGCCGCTTAAGGTTAAGATTCGAGGTCGCAATAACGTGCCACTGTTGCACCATAATCGAATTCGAGACAACGCTTAGCACAATTGCGCCTTCAACAATATCCAGTGTTTCCAATACCTGTGTTCTCAGCTATAAAAAGTTTTCAATTCACAACTTGATGAAAGAATTATACGTAACGGCAACAAAAGTTGGAAGAAAAAAGGAAATACGAGGCGTTTATTACACCATTACGTTTCAGCAATTACGTATCGTAAAGTAAAAATGGCCGAGGCAAACTGTAGTATAATCGGTACACGAGTCGCGAAATCTAGAATCACGTGCGGGTATATGCTAGGATAGCCTTAATTAAGCCGTGGCGCAAAATCTCGACGAGCTACGAATTTTCTTTTTTCTTTTTTTTTTTTTTTCAAGAAACTCGAGAGTTCTACACACGAGTCGAGAGAAAAAGAAAAAGAAAGAAAGAGAGAGAGAGGAAATGCACGATATCCTAATTAAAATTTCCGTGAAAAATTCGAGTCTATTCACTCATGGTTCATTGCTTACAAGTATTGGCTGCATCCACGAGCGGTTAAATCCGGCATCAAAATCCGGATTCATCGTCTCTTTTTTTTTTCTTCAGCATCTTTCTTCTCTCTCGCTCTCTGTTTGTCCGCGTTCACTTAGAGGGAGGATTTCACCCCTGAAAGGTCGATTTTCATTCCGTTCCAGAGAAGCCACTCAACGCACGGGCTTCTCGCTTGCGTTAACAAAGACCTCAAATTAGTGGTCGGCCGGTGCAGCTGCGTTTCCAGGGCTCCATTAAGGTCACGTCGCAGTGCATACGCCGGATAAACCGAGGGACGATGCCTGTGCGCCAGGGGATGGTGAATTTAACGCGGATCTGGAACGGTTGGTGGATCGTTGATGGATCGAAATGGAAATTTTCGTTTCGAAATTTGTTACATCAGAGCCATATTTAAATATTATTTCTTATTAGTTCTGGAAATTTTAGATTCAATTCTTGGTTCGAATGTATTGCACGTTTGATTAATATTGGGCAACATTGCCATTAAACGAATGATCAGTTAAAAGAGAGAGAGAGAGAAAAAAGAGGATAAGAGAGAGAAACGGTCGATGAAGCAGCAATACAAATTGTTAACGATTATAAAACAACTATTCCATAGAACAATTATATTTAACCGATACGCAAAGCAAAGCACGAAATGTCAATACTTGTTTGGTTCGCAGAGAGTTTGAAACCTCGTTGAAACATATAATTCCACTCGAGAGATTTGCGTGTTTAATTCCTCGTCACCTGTTTTAATAAATATAAAAAGATTAAAGGATTCTTTAATCAAAAAAGAATCTTATCAGAGGCGTAGCATTTTGCTTAATTATTGCGGTGGATTTCTCTTTACAAATGATCTAAAAATATATTCTAAATAACATTTCGTTACGAAATGCTTCTGCAAATTTGATAATCATACTAATATATACATAGAAGGATTAAAATATCTTCGTTGAAACAATTGTATCAAATTGTATCAATTATGCTTTTTCTTAATCATTCACCATTTCAAATGATCCGCAAATTTTTCTCTCAAGAAATAAATAAATTCCACATCCTTCACATTCTCTCAATGAAATTTCAACGAAAGCAATCTTCATTGTAATAACAGTCGAAGAATCGATTAATGGAATTAAATATTTATCATGTAAATCGAGATTTTACGGTTAATTGACCATCCAAGAAAATTCACGAACGATTTTATTCCGACACACGACCTATTTCAAAAGGAACATCAGCTTTAAATTGCGACATTCCAACGAAACTTCTAAACGAAATGACCATTTTGTCGCAGTCTCTGTGGAATGCGGCTCGGCGAGAATTCGGTAAATTGAAATTTCAATGAACGATCTTTTTCTTTCGTTATCGATTTTTGACCAATATTCTGTTAAAATTTTTAAGTTGTTTAAGAGTAATCCTGTTAATTTAAAATTAAGAACAATTTTGAGCTCTTGATGGTAGAGGAAGAAATTTTATTCTATGAAGTACAAAGTTGAAAGCACCCCTTCGTTATTGATTTTCGACTTCAACAGCAGCCTCCTTTTAAAAATTGGCTGTTCTCTAAGGCTGTCCCTGTTCTGTTTTTAATTGAAAATTAAAAACTAATTAGTTTCGAGTCTTTGATTGTAGAGAAAAAAAAATTTCATTCTTTGAAAGTACAAGTTAAAAGTACCCTTCCTCTTTATTATTATCGATATAAGT